GAGCGTGCTGCTCTGACCGGCTTTGAAGGGTTAAACTAAAAGTGATTTAGTCATAAATCCATCCAAGTGTTTTATTATTAGCTGCACAATAAACACAGAGGATGTAACTTTCATGTCGTTTTGAACCTGCGAGCAAATATGACTGATGTTTTCTTTAGGCCAAGTACAAGGAGGTGAGCAGAAAGGAGGCGACCAGCTGTCTGTACCATCAGCTGCCCGAAACACTGGAGACTCAGCATGCTAAAGAGGCTACGGAGCTACAAAGTCAGGTACGAGATGTGACTGTCAGTCAGATCAGTTAATGAGGGAGATTTGTGACTCTTTATTGACTTTGTGCAAGCATCATTAAATCATAGCACCTCCCTCACATGGCACATGATAAATACCTGTATATGAATACAACAGGCTGACACGTATTATAAAGTACATATTTTCCATACCAGTATCAGTGCTGTTATTCTCATTTATCTGTGGATTTTATCCACCTTTCCAGGCTTGATGTTTTTATATGTTTAAAAACTGCAGTTTCTGCCAAATGATAATCCATCTGTTTTGAGAGGACTGGAGTGAGGAGCCAAATACAGACACCAAAGCAGATGGAAGTGACAGAAGTCAGGCTTTTATTTCAGTTTATAGAAAAAAGTTCCAAAATTATCAAAGTCCAGAAGGTGAAGTAACACAGACATCCAAGAAGTAAACATGAAGAAACACGGAGCGAATAACAGCAACAAACAGGGCTGCACATAAAGACGAACAACAAGAATATAGATAGTGTGGTGCACGGCTTCTTTGAGGGGTGGCTGTAGCTCAGGAGGGAGACGAGGTCATCTACTGATCAGGAGGTCGGTGGTTTGATCCTTGGCTCCCTGTAGTCTGCATGTCAAACATCCTCGGGCAAGATATTAACCTCAAGTTGCTGTCGATGCATCCATAGCGTGTGAATGTGTGTGAATGTAGTTAGTAAGCACTGAAAAGCAAAGAAGGAAGTGCTTGTGTGATTGGATGAATGTGCACTTTGAGTACTCGGGAGTGTAGAAAAGCACTGTATAAGAATCAGACCGTCTACTGCTTACACAGAGATGCAGGTTAAAACAATCAATGACACGTGAGGAAAGTTTGTTACAACAGCAGGAAAACAGTTATTAAAGAAAACAACAGAAAACTTAGTTTGAAAAACAAAAAGACTGGAATAAAATCCACAGGAGGCAACAAACATTTCCAGAGTAAAAAGGAGGAAAAGACTGAAGCAAGAAAATCAATACGTCCATTTTTGTACACGTTCATGTTCACGCACAAGTTTGGCATCACTGTACACCAAAAACGTGAATGCAGTCAGATCAGTTTTGTTCCCGTCACCACCGTTCTGTTTCTCATGTGAAAATAATTATTGTGGTTTATTTTGCAGTAGTTATGATGTTTAAACGGACATTTAAAGGAAAAGTCCTGAAAATAATTTCATGTTTAAACGTTTTGAAAAAGCCTCAAGTTGGAGAAATGATTTCTGAAAAAAAGAAATAAAATTAAAAAATAATGTTGTTGTGTCAGGATTTTATGGCAGATTTTGTTTGTGTCAAAAGGGTGCAAAATTTCAGGAGGCACAAGAGTTAAGTTGAACCCCCTCCACACACACACACACAAAATAAAACCTCAAAACTCCACGAGTGCAATTAAATAAACACATCAATGCAAACAAATGTGTCGATTATTATTTCAAATCAGAATTAATTCATTAAATATTAAATAATGAATTAAATGTAGAATAATATTGTTTAAAACATTTAATACAGTATTTATCTGTTTACAATTTTATTTAATTAATTTCACTTTTAATTGATGATTTAGTGTTTGAAGCTTTGGTATCGCGTTTAAATTGTCAGGTGTTTGTTTGTTTGTTTGTTTGTTTTTTAGCAAGTTCGGGGTCCATTTTTGATTTCGTTTGTTCGGCTGAGTTTGAGTCGTTTCTGTCTGTGTCTACCACTTTTTCTGCATCGATTATTATTTTTCATTGAGCTTGACTTTGATTATTCTTCTGAACAAATTCTGACTTTTTTATGTAGATTATTTTTCTGTTACGGTGCATGATTAACCGAGTACGTCTCTGCTCTCCAGGTGAAATACAAGGACGGTAAGAAGGAGCTGAGCACCAACCTGTACTCGCTGCTGCCTGAGACAGAGGAGATCAAGTTTGCTAAAGCAGTGACGGAGCTGCAGAGTGAGGTGGGCGG